TTTTCCTGTGTGCTGGAGATAATTCATTAAAAAGACAGAAAGAAAGCAGGAGAACATAGTGGAAGAGTCGGCTGGACTTGGATAACCTGAGCCAAGGCACAGAAGCCGAAAGCCTATGGCCTTGCACCTCTCACCTGTTGCCTTCCAGGTCAGCTGTGTGTTCAGAGCAATTCAAAATGGTAACTGACATCGCATCAGGCTCATGGCAGGTACTCGCTGCATACGTTTGATGTTTCCAGCTTTCTGGACATTTCAGTATTGGGAGCGTAGTGTCAAGATTTGAGAGGCTCGCTTTGCGATAGGAGAAAGGAGCCTGTTTCCTCCAAGTGACCCCACTGGAGGGTCTGGAGTGACAAGGTGGATGATGGTTGGCTTTCTTGTGACAGTGAGTTCAGCAGGTGCAGCTGTCTCTGGCAATGGGGCCGAGGCCTCTTGGCAAGCTGCCCCTCCCCCCAGGCAAAGGGGCCCCCAAAGCTCTGTGGTCAGTGTGTGTAGCATCCATACTGGGAAGGACAGAGTCCAGGGCACCTTTTGTGCCACAGGTGTCGTGGCTTTTTGAGGTGTCTTCAGTGAGTGAGCCCTTTTTGGTCAGCTTGAATGAGCAGAGGAAGCTGACATGTGGAGAATCCTTTGTAGGGAAGTCCCTGCACTGGGAGAAGCAGCCACTCTTAGGGAAGAGTGGAGTGGCTGTGAATCTTCAGGGCAGCCTGCAGAAAGAGACCATGTATGGTGCTAAGCTGACTACCTTTGAGGAAGCTTATTTGGATTCTGGGAGGAAGTTTGTTGTGACATCAGTCATGCAGAGCCCTGAGAATTTAGCTCTTTATAAAAGTAAGATGTTTGCTATGTACAGAGTGAGGAAATGTGCTGCTTGGAGAACAGCTTAGCTCCCTGTTGGTGGCATAAGGATATTTGAGGTCCAGATGGGCCCTATGATTTTAGGAGTTAAACCTCTTGTGTTCATGATGGAGTACGGCTTGACAGACTCTCTTCTTGGCCAAACTCTGTAGTCAGGACCCTCTGAGCTCCTTGTCAAGTAGGCTCTGCCCTTGGGTGAGTCCTCAAAAGCCCAGTTGTCCCAAGCATCCTAAGTCAGTCTAGCCAGAATCCCCTGCCCTCGATATCTGACTGATCTCCTCATCCCCTACCATGCCCTGGGTAATGTCTCATCACACTGGCCTGCCTTCAGTAAGAATCCCATCAGGTCCGTTTATAAAGGAATTACTCTACCCTCTAGTAATGGTCCACCCACTCATCCCACCATTCTATTTGGCTATAAATTCCCTGCTCTTCCTTGTTTTTGGTTAAACCCAGTCTCTCTCATTGGAAAACCCCATTGTGATGGTCTCTATACATATTGCCATTGTCCCAAATGAAGTCTGCCTTATCATTTTAATAGGTGTCGGGGTAACTTTTTTCTTTAACAGGTGCGAGGAATTGGCTTATCCAGGGTAGCACTTAGCGTATATTTCAGAGTCAGGATTCTTAGACTCCAAGTTCAATGTTCTTTCTCCACACCATGCTATCTTTATGCCTTCAAGAGTGCAGAATCAGGAAGGGATTCATCCTGTAAAACCTTTTATTTGGATTAATAAAAGTATGCAACTGACTGCCTCTAGAGATTAGGCTTTCTCCTTCCCTGCCCTGGAGAGGATAGGAGCTTGGGGTGATTGGTCACTTAACCTTGATGCTAGTGTGAGTGAACGGCAGATCCTTCCCTGGGACCAGATAGTGCTAGACCTTTCCTTGTGTTCTAGCATCCAGCTAGATGAAGTGTGTTTTCTAGGTGTGGCTGTGTGTTGAATGGCCAGTAGAATTTAGCAGCTGGTCAAGAATTTGACCAGCCAAGACCAAGGATGACCATTCATTCATTCTTACAAATGAGTACAAAGCAAAGTGGAATAATACACAAACCAGTACATTCAGCACTTGCTTTGCATGAGACATGGTACAAGGCATTGGAGCTGTTAGAAGTAATGTTTCTTGCCCTTAGGGAGCTATAGTCAAGGAGGAGATCCCAGAATAAAAATAGTATGACTGAAACAATTGGATAAATGGTAACATAGAAACACATACAAGGTGGTATGGGAATGGAAAGGAAATCACGATTAATCCCTGTGGGGAAGCTGGAAGGAGGGTGATTCTGGTGGTGTCAGAGGTTGGAGAGAGATGTCCCAAGCAGAGAAAGTAGCACAGGGATAGTTCAGGCAATGGGAATGATATTAGTAGAAATGGAGGGAGTGAAAACATAGGACATTCAGGAAAGTTTGGTGAGGCTGGAGAGAAAGGGGCAGGGAACAGGTGGCTGGAAATGAGTCTAGTGAGGAAGACTGAAGCCATATTTGACAAGACTAAGCTTGGAAGCTACAACTTCATTGTGTGTTGGCAGCGGTAATTACTACAAGGGATGAGGTGGAGAGATCTGGAGGTTGAAATACAGCCTGATGACAGCACGGGGGATGGTGGGAGGGGGAGGCTGGAAGAAGAGCATACAGTTGGGGAACTATTTCAAAAAATAATGATGCATGAGCCACAGCATTGGCGTGAAGATGGAAAGACCAGGGGTCCAAGTTATTTAGGAGATAGAATCATTAGGACTTGGAGACTGAGCTGGGTTTGAGAGATAAAGGCAACAAGAAAGATTGGGAGTGATTCCCTGTGCTTAAAGGTAGACAGGAGACTGAAGATAAGAAGTCAGCTTTGAGGGGGCTGGTTATAAAAGTTACCATAGACACTGACCATGTGGAGCCAGTAGCCTAGGGAGGGATTTGAAATACTTATGGGGGCGCCTGGGTGGCTCAGTGGCTTAAGCCTCTGCCTTCGGCCCAGGTCATGACCTCAGGGTCCTGGGATCGAGCCCCACATCGGGCTCTTTGCTCAGCAGGGAGCCTGCTTCCCCCTCTCTCTCTGCCTGCCTCCCTGCCTACTTGTGATCTCTCTCTCTCTCAAATAAATAAATTAAAAATAAATAAATAAATAAAATAAATTGAAATACTTATGTTTGTTTATTGAGTAAACATGCCGAGTGTGTATGATGTGTACAACCTGGTTCTTTACATTTTGGGGAAAAGAGAAGTGCATGTCCTTTTTATTTTCATATATATTTTTTAGCATTTCACTGTATCTACATCCTGTCAGGAGGTTTCCCACATGTCATATTTTTGCATCCTCAACGAATGCCTTGTGAGATCAAATCTCCCTGATTTTCTCAGTTCAGAAACCTGAGGCCCTAGGAGGTTAAGTAACTTGCATGTGGTCATATAACCAGAGAGCTGCGGATCTAGCAATGAAATAGAGATTTTGTGGGGCGTCTGGGTAGCTCAGTCAGTTAAGCGTCTGCCTTAGGCTCAGGTCATGATCCCAGGCTGCTGGGATGGAGCCCCATATCAGGCTCCCTGCTCAGGGTAGGGTCTGCTTCTCTCTCTCCCTCTGCCCCTCCTTTGCTTGTGCTTTCTCCCTCCCTCTCTCTCTCTCTATAATAAATAAATAAAATCTTTAAAAAAAAAAAGAAGAGATTTTTCTATACCCAAAGTTCCTGTTCTTTCATCGCATCATAGCACTCTCTGTGCTCCCTTGTCCTTCGGGAGCTAATATTGTCCTAGGGAGACCAGAACTTACAGAAACTAATCACAATGGTATCAAAGAGCCAAAAGGAGGCATGTGCGGTGTGCTTTGGGCACAACGTGGGCTGGGAAGCTTTTTCAGGGCAGAGAGGGGTGAGGGTGACTGGGAAGAGGGCTAGTGAAGCCTTCACAGGGGTAAGGGTGGGCATCTCAGCTGGTGTTGGGACATGGAGTTTGCTCAGTCAGAGGGGATGGGGCTAATTTTTAAAGGCCATCACACGGTATGAGCCTTGACTACTAGGCTTGTGAAACTGAGCTGTGGGCCCGAGCAGGAATAGATTCTGGAGAGAAGGTGGGGGAAGAACCCGGGAAGAGGGAGGAACAGGCAGGTGGTTACTGGGGAAGCACCCAGCTGGAGCCAGACACTGGGGTCTGAGGCAGCACACAGGCTCTCATGAGGTCAGGTGACCACAGGGAAACTAAACTGACCTCGGACTTTCTCAAGCCCAGGTGGGAGAAGTTTCGTGACCTAGCCAAAGCAGGCCATGGAGGAGAGATGGGGTGCGGAGCTGATGATACTGGTGGTTTGAAAGGGGAGGACGGTACGTGTGGAGTCGGGTTGGGGAGTGAGGCACAAAGCGTGGCGGCGAGGCTGGGCCCTCCCTGTTAGCCACCTGCTCTCCTTCCTCCATTGTGGAAAGGTGGGATGGAGTGGAAGGAGCCTATGGCTTGGCCTGCCTTTGCTCTCCGAGTCCTGACTTATGGTTTTGGTATAAAGTCAGAACCCTGGAAACTGGGCCCAAAGGACAAGCCGGTAGCCAGCAGGATGGTTGGAATGATAAACTGTTAGCAGCACTTCCACAACCCCTGCTTTGACCTTGACACACCACAGCTCCTATGTAAAGGCTCCCGCCCCCTCCCTGCTGTGTCCCAGTGCTGCCGCTGCACCCTCCAGCCTCCTGCAAATGGGGCTTGCTTCCACCGGGAGCATTCCCCAGCCTCGGGCTCTGCCTCTGAGCCCCAGCCTCAGCCTCTCGGAGGTGGTATGAGGTTGGCTGGACTCCGGCGACCTCAGGAGACAGTCTGGCCTCTCCCACAGCTCCCGGCCGGAACTTGCGTCCGTCTGCAGCAGCACGTGGAGGACCCTGGGCTGAACCTGGGGGCAGGCAGGCCCTGGCACTGGCTTTCACAGACAGCTTCACGGAGGGCAGAAAAGTAGGTCTCTGAGAAAGGCAGGGAGCAAAGGGGAGTGAGGTTAGGTAGTAAGCAGATGCGCTAGTCTAATTGCTCTTCTGAAATTAATGGGGCCTTTTATCTCTGAATCACTCCTGTGATTTGGGAACAAAGGTGCAAGTTGAAGGAGAACTTGGCTCCCCTCTGAACATAATCCACCATTTGGTAAAACAGTTTCTTCCTTTCTTTCTCTCTTACCTGCAGATCAACGGATTATGGCACCACCTATGAGAAGCTGAATGACAAAGTAGGATTGAAGACTGTCCTCAGTTACCTCTACGTCAATCCCACCAACAAAAGGAAGGTAAGACTAGGGGTCAGCCGTGCTGAGCAGTCCCCATGGGGTAGGGTAGCAGGGCTGCCAGGGACCAGGCATGAAGAAGAAAACCAGTAGGCATGGAATCTGTTAGAGAGAGCCTGCTTTCTAGGCCAGTAACATCACAGAGGATCCTTGTAGCTCTAACTGCCTCGACACTGGCAGTAGCACTAGTAATAATAATTTCAACAACAACAGTAAAATGATGTAGCTAGTAAGGTGTTCTCGGTGCCAGAGATACCTTATTTCATTTATCCTCACAGTGAATCTATGCGCTAGAAGTCACTGTTGTCCCCATTTTATGGATGAAGAAACTGAAGGTCTGAGAGATTAAGTAATTTTCTGGCCTAAAGGCAGACAATGGTAAGTAATAGATCTGTGATTTGAGAGTGGCTCTGCTTGTCTCTGCAGTTGAGTTCTTCCAGCCTCCCTCTTGCTGGTCTGTTTTCAGAGAGCTCCTTGTAAACAGAGGTCTGTTTCTGCCACGGGAAGGATAGGGAGTTCTTGGATTCACCAGCTTGATCTAGAGCTACCGTTGGGCACGGAGAGCAAACTGGCTTCTGGCCCCTCTGCTGTCTGACTTTCCAGTTGACTTAATAGCCAGGATGTGGAGGAAGTCATAGAAAACCACCTTGTGGTCATGGAGGCCCCCTGGGAGGAGGGACCTTTGAGTCTCCGGAACGACGGACGGTTTTAGAAAATAAATACTGTGTAATATGTTGGTTCTGGGATGGGTGATCTTTCTGCAGCCAGAGAGGCACTGCTGTTTAGAAACTTAGGCAGGCCTAGCCCCTAGAAACACACCAGGAATCTAAAAGGCCATTTTAGTGTTTCTCAAAGTCTGACAGTGGCACTCCCTAGCTTTCCTCTTGCAATCTGATTTGCATTTCCCTGTAGGTTTCTAGCCCCCGCCCCCTTTTTTTGTGTGTGAGAATAAGTGCAGGGGTGGGCTTCAACCCACTGTTTAGATGTCCCTGACCTCTGAGTCCAACCTGGTAGAGGCCAAGATGTGATGATGATGATTTATGCCGCTCAGAGCAGAACAGCTTTGAATCAGGCCCATAGCAGGAGTGCCATGCCCCACTGTCTTCTCACTCCCACCTCTGCCACCCCTAATCCCCAGCAAAGGGAGGAAGCAGAATGGATGACTCATGGTTCAGCGTTGATGATTAGATGCCCAGTGATCTAGCTAGGAGGCTCCAGACCTGAGACTCTGCCCACCAGTCAAGAGCCAAAACCCAGGTGATCATCAGGTTGGCTGTTGGGAAACTTGTTACTCAGTGGAGTAGTTTCTCTTTGCTTTGCCCTGAAGTGCTGTCATCTCCATAGTTTTCAGTATTGTCATGTGACTTGTTGGATATCAGAGCAGGAAGGGATCATAGATTTGTATCTATAGGAGCAGTTCTTATTCAATGATTTTGCAAAAGTGAGTAAAGCTCTAGATGTCTTCTCTGGAAACATACCCCTGCTCACAAACTGGAAGTTTAGCAGTTTGTGAACAGCTGGAATCCCACTCACGGACCCAGGATGTCCATGGAGTCTCAGTTAAGAATCCTTTATACCAGTAACCTCGTTTTACAGAGGAGAAAACAGAAGCCAAAATAGCCCACAGAGCTGGATGAGAGGTCAGGACTCTGGATTCTCAGTCCAGATTTCTTTGCTGCAGACCACACTCAGCACATTATCCTCCTATACAGTCACAGCCTAGTAGTTCACAGTGTACAGTCTAGCCCTGTCTTGGAAGCTTGAGGCAGTTGCTTCTTGACCCAGAGGAAAGCTAGGTGCCATGTCCATGATGGACCCTTGATAAACCTGGACTGAATGTAAACAGTGGTCTGTCTCCGTTCTTCCTCTGCCCTGCCCCTTCATTACGAAAGAAGCTGAGGTCTGCAGAGGACAGACGTCACCCGTGTCACTCAGCTGGTTGGTGGTGATGTTGCCAGTTGGTCTCATGACTCTCAGTATAAAGCTTTTTCCATTCTACCCAAGTGACTTGGGGTCAGATGGAACCACGTCTTGGGGTGTATGTCCTGTGGGAGAAGCAGGTTTTTGACCTGTGGCAGAAGCCCTTCAGCATGGTCTTTGACCTTGGACCACAACAAAGTTGATGTTATTTTTTAAGACAGTAGGTCAGCTGTCTTTCTCTGAAGTGGGATGTAAAGGGTCACAACTATTGGCATCTCTTTTGGTGGTCATTTGTCATGTCTGTTTCCTGTTGAGCTTTTACTCATAATGATGTCACTTTTTTTTTTTTTTTTTTTTAAATAATGAAGTCTCCTTTGGTCTTTTGCTGTTTTTCTCTACCCCTGACTTCTTTATCTTTCTGTGGTATAACCTAGATGTGATTAGAAGCACAGCAGGGTTGTCTGGGTCGCTCAGTCAGTTGAGCATCTGACTCTTGTTTTCAGGTCCTGATCTCCGGGGTCATGAGATCAAGCCCCACATCAGGCTCCATACTCCATACAGAGTCTGCTTGTTCCTCTCTCTGCACCACTCCCCTGCCCTGTCTCTTTCTAAAATAAATAAATGAAGTCTTTAAAAAAAAAAAAAAAGGTGCAGAAACAAAAGGTTGGTTAACACAGATGCTGAGGGTCAGAAAGAATGGAAAGCTGGGATTTAGAGACCCCTGGTACAGAAATTCTGTCTCCATTTCTCCTGCCTAGTGGTGATATCCACACCATGGGCTCCCTGGAGCAGTTTCTCTTGGGAATTAATTCCCACTTAACTAAAGTGGAGCCTATTTTGTCTGTCTTCTCTGAGAAACACCGTCAAGGCAGTTAACTCTTGCTTGGGAGTTGCTGCTACCCAGCAAGTTAGACATGAAAGCATAGATATTTTCCCACTCTGATTGGGGAAAGACAAACTACAGGCTATTGCCATGTTGTTGTTGTTGATTTTAGATTTTCTTTATTCATTTGACAGACATAGCGAGGGAAGGAACATAAGCAGGGGGAGTGGGAGATGGAAAAGGAGGCTTCCCGCCAAGCAGGGAGCCTGATGTGGGGCTTGATCCCAGGACTCTGGGATCATGACCTGAGCCGAAGTTGGACGCTTAACAACTGAGCCACCCAGGCGCCCCATTGCCATGTGTTTTTTTTTTTCTTTTAAAGATTTTATTTATTGAATATATATAGAGAGATCACAAGTAGGCAGAGCAGCAGGCAGAGAGAGAGGGGGAAGCAGGCTCCCTGCTGAGCAGAGAGCCTGATGCAGGGTTTGATCCCAGGACCCAGAGATCATGACCTGAGCCAAAGGCAGAGGCTCAACCCACTGTGCCACCCAGGCACCTCTGTTGCCATGGTTTTATTTATTTTCTTTAATAGCAGTAGAAATTAATTCATAAAGAGACTGTGTGATCCTGAAATGCTTTCCGAATCATCCAAGGAATGATGAAATTAGATTCTGTTTCATTTTATGGTAAATGTGTTTGATTGTCTTCTGAGCTTCTGGGTGCTGACAGTTCACAAATACTCTACTTGATGACTTTTCTTTTAACTGGACTATTTGGTTTACTACAACGACCCTTCTCCAGCCCCTTATGCAAAATGGCAGTTAGATATAAATGAAAATACTCGGTTTATTGCTTTATTGCTTAGTGCTCTGGGTCATCATGACCTTGTAATTCAACTTTTATGTTGCCTTCTTAACTATCTCTTAAAGTTTAAACCTGCGCTGTCCAGATTCTCGTCTCTGCCTGCGTTACGCCAGATCGTCTGCTCCGCCGGCACCCAGATTATCTGGAGCTGCCCGTGTTCAGTGGCAGCCAGTGAAAAATCCAGCAGATTTTCAGTTAATCTTGTGGAAACACTTGCTTTTTACTTAATGAGTTATTTATTTTAACAGATGGCTACTACTGTCCTTGGAGGCTATGAGAACATCAGAGATCTGTGGCCCCTGACGAAACAGTAAATTGTGCTTGTATTTATATAGTAGCTGGGTTTCTAATGCATTTTTGACAACATAAAATCTTCAAATGCAGAAAGCCAGTAAGCCATTAGGTTGAAAATAGAAGTTGGTTAGAAGAACATGGGTATATGTTAATTAATTGAGCGCCTACTATGCTAAGCTGTCTTTTAGGAGCTTAATCTATATAACCTCCAGTCCTCCTTGCCACTTTAAAGGCAGGTAAGATTACCCCATGGCTGTTTTACTTGTAAACAATGAGTCTGCAACAAATTTCCCGTTGATGAGGGAAGTGAATGACAAATTTGTCAGGATACATCCAGCAATGCTGGACTCCCTTAAGGAAGTTGAGATTTGCACTAGCCATATTTACTGGTCTTTCCTAAATGAGAATGTTGATATGAAATGCTGGAAGCTCCCATTGAAGTTGTTCTAAACTCTCCTTTGATGTGGTGGTATCAGTATTATTTTAATGACCTTGACCTGCCCTGACTGTATTTGATGGGAATTCTACATCCCTTCCTGTTTGCCTTTCTCCAGCCGTTGGCTAAATAGTTCATTACCGGGGTGATGTCTGAGCCTGGAACCTTGAACATGAAGAGTAGTGTGTTTGTTTTAGAAGCAGGTGTATATGAGGTTTGTGTCCCTGAGGAGGGGCTCTGCTGTGGTGGGGCGGGGGGTGGTTCTGAGTTCCCTCTCACAGCTTCTGCTCACAGGAGACAAACATCTCTGGGTTCCTAGAACTCGTTACTGTTACCCAGTGCCTGCCCTCTGGTCCAGTCAGAATGGCACGTGCCAAGGTCAGGCTTGCATTTAATGGATCTGTGCTTTGTACAATACAAACATGCTGAGGGCTTTGTGCCCTAGCAAGAGAGGGTTTTGGCTCCTACAGGAGCCTATTTGGGAACAAATCTCTAGGTGGGTAGGGAAATGCAGGCATGCTATGGCCTAATTGCTTTGGCTCAAAAGTGGCTGCCACCTGCAGATTTGGAAAGAGTGCTTTGGAAGTGGCAGAGGGCATAGGAAATTCTGACTGCCAGGGAATTTGGCTCAATTACTGCAGAGTAGAGGTGGGTGTGCCTGCG